CCCCAAAACCCCAAAACCCCAAAACCCCAAAACCCCAAAACCCCAATTTATAATTTACATTAAAGCATTATGGCTCAATTCCTTTTTGATCCTGGAAGTCTTTAAGAATCAGATATTAGTTGTTTGAAAACATTGCCTAAAATCTGAATCTATTGAACATTAAAAAGCCATCTCCCTTCTTATAGACCTTAGTCTAGTCATGTCCTTTCGAATTGTAGAAGAATTATGGAAAAAGACTGTTGGATATTTTTAATATAAGGATTAGACTGAGTAGTATTGCTAAGAAAAGTTTAACTTAATTAACTTTAAAAGGAGAAAGAAAGGTGTAGAGGCTCATTAGCATCGAAATTACTATGAATTTTTCATTCATCGCTTCTTGTCATTTAGAACAATTCTTACTCATCAAGAGCACTGGTGATGCTGTTTGAATAATCTTGGGAATTAAGAAGATACTTTGTGAGATAATTAAACATCATGCATCTATCTTCTTGTTAGCTGGCGGATTCCGACCGACGAGAAAATATCATTTAAAGACTAATAGTGATTATACTAATAAGCTATCGTATCCTCCATTCTTTCTCTCTTTTGCATTGTCTTTAAACTTCCATTTCATTAGAAACTTCAAATATGGATCTTAAAGGAGGATTTCTCATTGGTTTTAGTCTGGATGAGAGATATGAACTAGCAGAGAAAGGAAACTAGGATAAAGAGATAAAGCTTAAGAAAATGATTAAAGAAGGAGGTTTTAATGGAGATTTGGTAGATACATTCCTTCAACATTCAAGGAATAGTATTATCTAAGAACACATTGGATTTTGGCGAAGACTTAAGAATTTAGATGCAAGATGAGATAGAAGATTTTTGAAGCGGAAAATGTTTAATAAGGATGCTCCTTAGACTAATAACTTAACTTTTGGCTAAAAATATGAATAACTCTCTTATTTTAGGTGAAACTCATCTCCCAAACTTTTACATTCATTTAAAATCGAAATATTATTAATATCCCAAAAGATCCGCAAACGTAATCATTTGTTTATGAATCAAAAGTGAAAGTCATCTCAGGTACCTATCCCATACCCTAAAATTTGATTCTAAATTGTCAAAAATACTCTATCACTCCCTAAACCACTAAATTTTTCAAATATTTAAAACTTTACAGTTTTTCAAAATTTCTTTTAACAAAAAGTCCAACTCAAATCAATTTCACAATTATTCCTCATGGTCTCTTTCAGATTCTTCTTTAATCACAGAGAGTATTCTCTTACGGCAGGACGAGCAGCGCTCTTGAGAGGTATCCATTGCTTGCTGCATGTCTTCATCAATGAAGTCAATAGATTTATTAGAGAGTAAATCTGGCCTATACTCCTCTGGTAACACCTTTTCAATCAACTTGTGCAAGTAATTTATAATCACATGCTTATCTATAAATTAAGTCAGATCCATTGGTGAGAAAGAGTATGAATTATTTAGCCAAAGCAGAGTTTTAGTAAAAAGATACTTACATGAGTATATGCGCTTATAGAGCATTATCCCAATGATTCAGAGTAAGACTGCTATTAGCTTGTTCTTCTTACTTTTGCTTAAGAAGTCTAAGATCTGCTGTTTCTATACATTATGTTAGACTCTCAATAAAAGTGTTCCATGTAGCCCTCTTGTCCGCATATAAATGTAAGCCAAATTGTTAAGATAATGTATCTAAAATCCACTAAAAATTTCAAAATCCAAGTTCGAGTGAACTGAAATATAGTTTAATATTGTCTGTATTTCCTTGGCTATGTCTTAGCTCCCAGAAGTCTCTTATTACCTTTGTACATGTAATAGCGGTTCCTAGTAAGAAACCGAATGCGAATTTATATCTTTTGCCCATATTATCTCTAATTTTGAATGAATTCTTCTCTAAATAGCCGTAATGGAGTCTAGTGGTTATTTATTATTGCCAATTCTATAAATATGCTTTAAAAGGGGTTTTGGGGTTTTGGGGTTTTGGGGTTTTGGGG